CTCCAGGGGAGCCCAGCGCTCCTCAGCCCCTCCTCACGCTCCTCAGACAGCTGCGAGCCCTGCAGGTTGATCCCGCAGCAACGCTTCTAGCTGAGGTTACAGGTGTGCACCACCACACCCAGGCTGATAACAGTAGAATTCTGTGTCACCATAGCAACTGAATATCACAAAAGGGTGTCACAATGGAGTACTGCGTCACAGTAGCAGCTGTCCTTTGAGCGGGGCATGGAGACCCCTACCTTGCCATGGTCCCTACTGTTCCTTATTATCTAGCCCTTGGGTCACAAGTCAGCTGCACAGCCGGTGAGAGAACTAGACGCTCTCCGTGCAATCGAAAGGGGGCAGAGAGAATCGTGGGTCTTGTTCTTTAGTTCTGATCGCACCACAAGCCCGCAGCCTTGATTTCCGGGCCAGTTTCTGGATCACAGGAAATGCCCGGCACTTTCTCCTTTGTTTGGACTTCTTTTTTTTTTTTTTTTGGAGACAGGGTCTGGCTATGCAGTTCAGGCTGGCCTTAAGCTCACTTTGGAGCTCAGGCTGGTCTCGAACTTGCAACGATCCTCCTGCCTCAGCCTCCCGAGTGCTGGGATTACAGGCGTGCGCCACCACGCCCGGCTGGACTTTGTTCCTGGTGCCGGGCTGAAAGCAGGGCTCATGCTGCTAGGCAAGCGCCCAGTCGCCCCAGGCACACTTTCGGTTTGAGCGACGCGGCTCTCCGGCTGCTGCGCAGGACGAGGAGGTGCCTGTCCTGCTCCGGAGCTGATTCCGCCTCCCCGCGGCGGGAGAAACTCCCAAGTTTGGGCCGCGCTCCTCTGCTGAGTTCTGTCTTTGTCCGGTCAGCCCAAAGGCCGCGCATTTGTGTTTGAATTTCTCTCGCTGACCTTTCCCCTCTCCACTGCCGCAGATGTTTCCTCTTTCTTCTCCTTCAGGTGTCTCGTGGGTCCCCCTGATGCTGTCAGGGAAGCAGGCCTGCAGGGGTCGGGGTGCGGCGGCTGCTGCTGGGGCTCAGGGGATCGGGCCTGGGCGGCCTGGCCAGCCCCGCAGACCAGAGAGGATTTCCTGCTTAAAACGGTAACGCTCTTTTTCTCGCTGGACGAACGCGGCAGCCAGGCCTGCTCCACACCGAGCTGACGCATCCCGGAGGCCCCATCGTCCGCGGAGCCCGCACCCTGGGCGCCCTGGGTCAGCCTCCCAGCCGGCTTTCCCGAGATGCACGTAGTGTGGCTACAGCCCCCACCGGTGCAGATAGGCCCGTGTCTTTGTGGGGAGATTTGTATTCCATCAGGACCCAAGATGAGACGAGTAGGTTTTATTGTATCCGGTTTCCCCAGCTCTCTCTGCTCAGGACGCAGCTCTGGGACCCGTGTTGCGGTCTCAGCTCTGGCTTGAGCCTGAGGCTGGTCCCCATCTACTGTAACAACCAGGCATCCTAGGCCCTGCGATCTGCAAAGGTTCCTAACCCTCAGCATTTATCAGCATCCTCTATTTTGTTTTCAGGATACCTAGGCATAGATTTGTAAACTGCAGTATATAATATATGCTATACTGGCAAAAAACTTTAGGGTTCTTTGCTGGAAAAATTACTTTTGACTTTTTGGTTTTTTTTGGTACCAGGAATCGAACTCAGGACCTTGCACTTGCCAGGCAGGTGCTTGTGCCACTGAGTTATATCCCGGGTCTCCATACTTTTTAATGAAAAGGAAAAACATCATTAGGAGATTTGGTTTTTGTTTCATATTTGAGATAGGGTCTCTCGATTCAGAGCAGCTTATCCACGACTGCAGTACAGTTGGTTCAGTATGAACTGCGAGGTGCAAGACACGGTACAGGACGGCGTTTTAAACTGCGGACTGTTCTCCATTTCCTGCGTTCCTGCTTGGACATGAAAGGAGCAGAGAGATGCCTCGTGTTCAGGCACCTGTGACTCTACCCAAGGGAACGTCCAGGAACTACGGTGTTTGGGGGCCAAGGAGGAGAAAGGTTTCCTCAGTGACCCCGTCCTGAGACCTCACTTGTCTCTCGGGAGGATGTGCGTCTCTCTGACCTATTTCATGGGATTGGGAGCTCTCCTTGACCCCTCCTTCCAGTCCCCAGGCCAATAAATCAACGTCATTCCCTCCAGGTGACTTAGGACGCCTCCAGAGCCCAGTGCTCCAGGGGAGCCCAGCGCTCCTCAGCCCCTCCTCACGCTCCTCAGACAGCTGCGAGCCCTGCAGGTTGATCCCGCAGCAACGCTTCTAGCTGAGGTTACAGGTGTGCACCACCACACCCAGGCTGATAACAGTAGAATTCTGTGTCACCATAGCAACTGAATATCACAAAAGGGTGTCACAATGGAGTACTGCGTCACAGTAGCAGCTGTCCTTTGAGCGGGGCATGGAGACCCCTACCTTGCCATGGTCCCTACTGTTCCTTATTATCTAGCCCTTGGGTCACAAGTCAGCTGCACAGCCGGTGAGAGAACTAGACGCTCTCCGTGCAATCGAAAGGGGGCAGAGAGAATCGTGGGTCTTGTTCTTTAGTTCTGATCGCACCACAAGCCCGCAGCCTTGATTTCCGGGCCAGTTTCTGGATCACAGGAAATGCCCGGCACTTTCTCCTTTGTTTGGACTTCTTTTTTTTTTTTTTTT